GAGGACGGCCATGTCAAAAAGGACGCCGTGAACCAGAATAATTTTGTTTTTGGTAATAACAAAGCCGGTCAGAGCTTTTTTCAGAGCTCCTTGTGGAGCTCTGACACATTTCCCCAGTGTCTCCAATAATCAAAAAGCAGCACAATTTGACAATATTCTTGCTCCCCGATTTGGACTACTTCATTAAGCTCGCTATTAGAAAAAGCAGCAGCCAACAGCATTTGTGCTTGTTTACAAATGTGGGGTCACTGTGCCATAGAGCACTAAAGGAGGCTGAATGCAACTAGAGAATAGTGTACTTTGTTTTACACAAATCTGAAGCCGTTGTATTCTGAGGGTCTTAAAGTTCTCCATTTTTTGGGTATGTTTAATTTAGGAAAAAAATAAACCTAGGCTTATTATTCAGTCTCAACGTTAAGACTTACTATTTGGTCACTACACTCTCAAACAAGATAGTTCTTCAAGGGTTCTTTCGTTAAGACAACAGATCTATATAGAGCCTTGAACATTCAAAGAACAATCTGCATGCTTGAGTGGTTCTTTGCATGGTGAAATGGTTCTTCAGATTGATGAAGGATGTGTTGTATATGGTTCTGTAAAGAAAAATTTGTAAAAAGGGCTCTAAATAGCACCAGAAAGGGTTCTTCTATTGTTACAAGCTTGACATCGACATGAAACTAAAATACATGTTATGTAATTGTGAGAGTGAGGAACCAAAGTGTGGCCCCATATTCCCACATGGGAATTCCACTGATTTAATCAAATGTCTACATAACTGAACAATTAAGATATAAACAAAGTACACTATATTTCCAGACGTATCCAGACACCCCTTCTAGTAAGTGAATTCTGCTACTTTAAGGTACACCCATTGCTGACACAGGCATTAAATTACGCACACAGCGTGTATAATCTCCAAAGAAAAGAACGAACCAACAGAATAAGACACTCTGGAGCAGCCACACTTGAGCCTAAGATCACTATGTACAAAGCCAAGTGTCAGCTAGGCCCCCAGCATTGGGCTGTGGAACTGTGTCCTCTGGAGTGATTGAGCTCCATCCAATACCTTTCAGATGAGTTCGAGTGATCCAGAACTGATCATCCAACATCAGTACCTGACCTCACTAAAGCTTTTGTGGGTGAATGCAATCAAATCTTCACAGCAATGTTCCAACATCTAGTGTAAAGCCTTCCCAGAAGAGTAGAGGCTGTTACTGCAGCAAAGTAAGTACAAATATTCGTGATATTAGGAAAAACTCATTCATTCATAGGTTTGATGTGAAATTCTCAGTTCTAGAGAAACTTATGGAGTCAGAACTGTTTGCAGTGGTGGTGAGAGGAACCGGACATCAAAAGCGGTCAATGTCTGACTTATAAATATTAGTTATTATTATATGAAATGGTTGTAAATACGCTGGCCAAGACACTGGTTTTCAATGGCAACAAATCCATTCATAAAAGAGACATGTCGGATGTTGTAAGGCAAAACAGCACCAAACAAAAAAAATTTTCCCGGTTTTAGTAGGTTCACTAGTCGTTTAGTCGGTAGGTTTCTTTACAGTGCATTTCACATCAAACCACTCTGAAGGACTTTGTTTACATCTGTTCCTAAAACACTGTCTGACGATTCCGAATCATCAGATCCCTCTTTTATTTGTCTACAATGAAAAGCTTCATGTAGCATCTGAAGACATCAAACATAGCAAAAAGAACATATTTTAATAACAGGTTTGCTTTAGAATGTCCATTTTTAAAGAAGCAGTAGTGATGGACAACGTGAACCCTGGACAAATCAATCAATGAGTCGAGTAGGAACATGATGTTCCTACTTAATAAATCAATGTGTCAAGTAGGGGCATCATGTTCCCACAAATGATCCCAAATGCTATTTGGAGCATCTGAGAAAACTCCTTCAAAGTTCCGAAGTAGAAAGACACAGAAGTCTGCGATGCACTCTTATTTGGTTCCTTTCACGTTAAAGAGGAGCTTCAAAAAAAATCACACTGCTGTCAATTGAGCCTGTGACAAGGTTTTTAAAAGAGGCTCCTACGCACTCAGACAAAACGAGAAATAACGGCATAATGCCAAACATCTCCTCTGAACAAAAAGCTCTCTTTGAGCAAAGCTCCCTGTTTACCTCGGGTTCATTTTTAAAGCGCGCAGCCTGCGGAGTTCCAGGGAACGCTGAGGCTAAGAGCGTGTACGTGTGTGTTGTCAGGGAAAGCTGAGATATGGGGAGAGAATATTTGTCAGGCTGGGCAGATAACGCCTCTCCAATCCATCCTGCTCTGCTGCGCGTCATCGCAGCACCTGGTTCTCCGGCTGACGGCAGGTGAGAGTCCCTATTAATTACAGGAAGCTGCCACGCAGGGACGGTCAGCATGCGGCTGGACCCTGGGACGTCAAATACAGGAAGACAAATGGCCTGACCATGAGTGAACGCATACACACACACATACACACAGTCAAGCACTCTCCTGGCAATGTAGCCCTTGGTCAAATTTCGCCCCCCATCCTCCTCGTCCTACTCAATCATATGCTACAGTACAGCTCGCGATACGCTTTTATCCAGTGACGGTAAAAAAAACAGCCAGGCTGCTTTGTATTGTAGAAAGTAGGTCATACAAGGTTATGTGCTTTTTTCTTATGATGAAAGCTGACTTTTTGTCCTCAAAGCTGCATCGATGTAGCGTAGGCTACGTACAAAAAGATGCAGGCGTGCCAGAATACAATACGTAACCAAAAATGCACTCGAGTAGATATGCCCAAGAGCATGCATGAGCACGCAGATAAACAACACAATGTTAAAAGGTGGCAAAATGTACAGTCTGCTTGGCTGCATGTAAGCAATGAAAGGATATGTAAGCATGTACAAAGAAATGTGGCGATGCACGCGATGCAAGGATGAGCACATAAAAACAACACGATCCTAAAAGGCTGCGAAATACACTGTGCATGTCCACATGATTGTATGGGTAGGCAATATGGCGATGTTCAATGTTATCATAACTCCTGCCACGATACAAATTACTGAGTATATTGGAAATATTGTCAGCACTCAACCCCTTTTTCACAGTACCCGTAAAAATTAACTTCCCATTTTAGAGGAAATGTACGGTAACATCCCGCATCGATAAATATAATGCGTGGTCATGCCGTATTAACGTGTGGGAATGATTAATGCATGGCCACAACTTAGCAAGGTGTAGGAATGAGATAATTAAGTTGTGGCCACAATTTAGTAAGGAGTGGGAATAAGATCATGCCTTACAAAGTCGTGGCCATGCATTAGGATCTCGTTCCCATGCCTTACTAATTTGTGCCCACGCATTAGGATCTCATTCCCACTCCTTACTAAGTCGTGGCCACACATTAGGATCTCGTTCCAATGCCTCACTAATTTGCACACAGTCTTTTCACACAAGGAGAGTCAAGAGTGTCCTAGTAATCTGATAACAGAGTTAAAGAGAAAAATATTTTATTAGTGCAGTAGGTGAAATGTAGAATTAAAATCACTGTAATTATAATTTTTGATTTCTTTCTTAAATATAATCCTACTGTTCTTTTTTGGTTTGTTTCAACATCAGAAAAACTAAACATCATGCAACCCAACTTGAAAGCAATGCAAGGATACACAAAATACAATGTAAAGTGTTGATAAACATATAGTATTTACGAGCCTGTATGCAAGTGATGCAAGACACACACACAAGAAAATTTCATCATGTACTGAAGTACCAGACATACAAAACAGGGAAATGCTTTAAGATGTGCCGCTCAATGAGCACTGAGAGATGCCTGACCAAAAAAACGACAAAAAAACACTTTTCCTACAGCAACCCATCTACTCACTCACCAGAGAGAGGAAGGACAGATATAAAAAGACAGAGATAGAGTGATAGTGTGTGTATATGAAAGCGTGAGTGGGGTGAGAAAAAGAGAGAGAGAGAGAGAGAGAGAGAGAGAGAGAGAGAGAGAGAGAGAGAGAGAGAGAGAGAGAGAGAAGAGAGAGAGTGGAGTGAAAGGGACAGGAAAGAGATAAAGAGAAAGAAAGACAATGATAAAAAGAGTGGGAGATATACAAAGAGAGGGACTGAGAAAGAAATGAGAGAAAGACAAACGAGAGAAATCAAAGCATGAGAAAGAGAGGAGAGAGGAAGAGCAAGAGAGACTGAGGCAGAGGAAAAAAGAGAGAGAGAGAGAGAGAGAGAGAAAGAGAGAAGACAGAAAGAGCAAGAAAGAGACTGAGGCAGAGGAAAAAACAGAGAGAGAAAGAAAGAAAGAGACAGAGAGAAAGAAAGAAAGAGAGAGGAGAGAGAAAGCAAGAGAGAGACTGAGAAAGAGTAAAAAAAGAGAGAGAGAAAGAGAGAGAGAGAAGGAGAGAGGAGAGAAAAAGAGCAAGAGAGAGACTGAGGCAGAGGGAAAAACAGAGAGGGAGAGAGAAAGAGGGGAGTAAGAGAAAGAGAGGGTAAAACAGAAAAGGGAAGAGAGGGGGGAGTGAAAGAGAGAAAGAGACAGAAAAGAGATAAAGAGCGAGAGAAAGACAGACAGAATGTTAGAAAGAGAGATATATGAAAAAGACAAATAAGAGAACTCAGCATAAGAAAGAGGCAGAGGGAAAAAAAGAGAGAGAGAGAGAGAGAGAGAGAGAGAGAGAGAGAGAGAGAGAGAGATACAGAGAGACAGAGAGAGAGAGAGAGAGAGAGAGAGAGAGACAGGGAGCATGAAGGCCTCAAATAAAAGTCTCACGTGTTGTAAGCTCGCTGGATCAACATCTTTTTTTTGAAGCGCTTCAAGCAGAACAGCAGCGGCCCGGGAGGCTCCCGCAGCTTCTGACATGGACATTAAGCCTTCCTCTCGTCTGTCATCGCACCTATCCACACTGCCTCCTTTCTTACTTCCTCCCTCTCTTCATCTCTCTTTCTCTCTCCTTCTCTCTCTTCCCATCACTCACTCACTCACTCTCTCTCTCTCTCTCTCTCTCTCTCAGCAAGTCATACATTAGCACGGCGGAGGAGTCACTGTTCGCGGCCATCATCCGACGCTGGGCGAGATTGATAACTGCAGCAGGGCCGCTCTGATAAATCAGTTTGAGCTGGGAGGCAGCAATCAGACGGAGCACCTCTCGTCCTCATGCCAGTTCCTGACTGCGCAACCCTTTTGATTTACTGCGCCATGACTCAACACTTCTTCTCCGGGCTTTAAAGACACATTCTAGAAGATTGCACTGCTGGAGAGCATGAAAAAACACAAAAAGAGCAGTTCTAAGAATTTGTTAAAAGGCCTACATCATGGAAAACCAGGCTCTCTTTTTTTTTTTAAATAAGTTATGTAAAAACTGCTAAAGTTTTAAAACTCTCCAGTCTATAATATACATATATGGTAAGTAAGCAGCGAAAACAATTCGTTTTGAATTCACTGTTTTTGTGACGACACAGAAACCAACACATCTATATAACGACTGGTACATAACACACACAAACACAGACACACACACTGATCGACCACCTCCTTATTTCTACACTCATTGTCCATTTTATCAGCTCCACTCTATTAGACACACCTGCCTTATTGGTCCACCTTGTAGATGTAAAGTCAGAGACGATAGCTCATCTGTCCAGCTCAGTCCAGCAGTGACACTGAGGTGTTTAAAAACTCCAGCAGCACTGCTGTGCCAGATCCACTCAGACCAGCGCAACACACACTAACACACCATTACCACGTCAGTGTCACTGCAGTGCTGAGAATGATCCACCACCCAAATAGTACCTGCTCTGTGGTGGTCCTGTGGGGGTCTTGATCATTGAAGAACAGGGTATAAGGGGTCTAACAAAGTATGCAGAGAAACAGATGGACTACAGTCTGTAACTGTAGAACTACAAAGTGACTGCATAATAAGTGGAGCTGATAAAATGGATAATGAGTGTAGACACAAGGTAGGTGTACCTAATAAAGCGCTCAGTGAGTGTATGTATGTATATATATATAAATATGTGTATATCTAAAAAATGTAGGATGTAGGCCATTCACAACAAGTTCCAGAGCTACTCTGAAGGCCTCTGGGCATTGTTGACTCCTCTGAAAGAAAAATGACTGCAGATTTCAAGAAGCTGACATGGACGACATCCAGCGCTCAGTTTGATCTACGGCCAACACTGACAGCAGGTAAGCTGAATGTAATTTTTCCATGCATCCAGAAGCACATCCCTGAAGACGGCTCTTTGATCTCTGAAGATCGTGTCTCACACAAACACGACTCATATGATATCACCTCGCTAAATGTTTGGAAATGGCACCTTCACGGCTGCCTGCGTCAACTGAGCTGACCTCTTGGACGGTCCACAGTGTCCGGCTGTTCCCGCAAGCAACGTGGCACATTCCTGAGAGAGGCGGCCAGGAACGCGCTTCGGACAGGCCAGTAAACAGAGATGTCATTTAGCTAGCCTGCTGCTAGCATTTAACAGATCCTTTATTTAGGCTGAGTGGCTCTGACTGGACCTCAGTTTGGCGTCATTATTGTGTTTCTGCACCAAGAATTGAAGCAAGAGGCAAACTTCAGACACCAAACCTGTCATGGAAGTTTGTAGACACCTGCTCAACCTACGTTTCTTCTGAAATCAAGGGTGGTAATGGGGAGTTTGTTCCCTCTTTGCTGTAGTAACAGTCTGTATTCTTCTGAGAAGGCTTTACACTAGATGGTGGAACATTGCTGTGAGGATTTGATTGCATTCAGCCACAAGAGCATTAGTGAGGTTAGGAACTTATGTTGGATGATCTGTTCTGGATCACTCCAACTCACACCAAAGGTACTGGATGGAGCTTCTACACCAGAAAACACAGTTGCACTGCTCCACAACCCAATGCTGGGGGGCTTTACACCCCTCAAGCTGACGCTTGGCATTGGGCAGGGTGACCTTAGGTTCATGTGCGGCTGCTTTAGAGCATCCTATTCTATTGGTCAATGCTTTTCTCTGGAGATTATAAAAGCTGTATGTGCGCAACTGAATGCTTGTGCCAGCAGTGGGTGACTGGATACTTCTGGACATAAAAATACTGTACATTTAAGGCAACGGGACAATTTCTGTGAACCATTACTTCAGGCATTAGTGATGCAGGTCTTCGAGGCAGCTCATGAACAGCTTAACTGCAGATAAGATCGCTCTTAGGCTTCTCAGGAACAACATCTTAAGCTGGTTGCGTAATAACAGGATGGTCCGGTGAGATAATTTCCTCCTCTAAAATTTTCACTTACTGACGTTGCAGTTGCCGAGACCAAGGCTATCACTATCAATTACATTCATAATCGTCTGATTATTCTAATGATTAATCAAGTAATAAGTGCTTCTAAATAAAGACCAAACAATGAAAAAGTACTTCCCTGAACAACAACAAAGAAACGAGGAAGCTTTTAACAAGGCTTCAGTAAAAAATAACAACACTATGCAGCAATAGTGCTTATAAATAGGCATGTCTATGTTTCCTAAGAAGACCTTCATGTAAGAGAGACGAACAGAATTTCAAATATGTATTCTCCTCAGGCAAAATGACACCTTATCACCGCTGTCTCATCAAGCATTCATGATTAATCAAGTTATTGTGAAAGCAATGTTAAACCTGTTTTAAGATGTTTTTTTTAGGACAGCAAAGCCGCATTTGTCACTCATTTGTGCATAAAATCATAAATGTGCTAGTCGTTCAATCCAGTGTGTCAGTCGAGTCATTTCATTTATTACTAGTACAAATAACCTGGAAAACAGGTAGAACATTATAAAAAATAATGGCTTTAGCAATGCATTAGCACAAGTGTATTAAGTGAATCATTTTATAAGACCCTTCCCAACACCACATTATTCCGCCCCCATCTCCATCAGCTCAGCTTAGAAAACATGACGGACTGAACGATAAGAAACACGCTAAAACAAGAATCACCACCAAAAGCACTTTTCAAAGATGGAATTATTACTTTGTTAATTATTATTACACACTAAACTGTAGTGCTCCTGATTTTTTAGCCTCTTAACACCAGAGCTATCACCTAAACGAGTAAGATGATGTCGACGCAAAACATTTCTAAAATGTAGAAATTACAACCCTGTCCACCTGGATTAGCATAAAAGAGAAATACAACATTTATTTCTGTATGGTTACAAATGCAGTAACACAAATTAAATGCAGATATTTTAGAGCAGTAACCCAGCATCACCTAAACACTCTGCTGTTTGAGAGTACAGTAAATATCAGTTATCATGGTCAAATCTAAACATCTGTCCAGTGCTGTTTTTTTTAGCCAATACCTGCAGATACCAATATCACTGAGCATTTATAATACAAACAAAAGTAGGTTTCAAGCAGCATTATTTAAATTTATTTTTGACTAATAAGTCGATTAATTGGAAAAAATAGTTGATAGATTATCCGACTATAGCAGTAAGTTAGCTGCAGTCCTCTTGGATTCAATTTAAAGTCCTGAAACATAAACAATCTACAGAAAAAGTTTTACACACATGCCAAAAATATAAAATTTTTACTTCGGGAAGGAAAAACAAACTACTTTGACAGAGTGGGCAATGCTACTTATCATAATTGTGATAAATTATATCTCAGTGCTTTCCTAAGCATATTGTGGATACTGTCAGTACTTAAAGAACACTAAACAACTAGAATTATTACAAAGAGAGCATAAATAGTCCTGTTTAATTGAATCTGGCATAGTGCTGTATGAGAAATGCTCAATAAAAGCCATTGTACTCCAGCCTTTTTTATACAGTATTAGTACAGTATTAGTAGTGGGGCTTTTTGTGTTCAAACTTTCTATCAACCTACAAACGAAATATCATAATATGTTACTGTCAAAATTTCTATGGCCCAAACCAACAGTAGGATGAAACAGTACAAGTACAGTACTGCAATGATTGAGGTTAATCTCCTTTGCAAAGGGCAGTGTTCTCCATGGAACGCTTCAACTAGTGACCGCAACCTCCACACTCGGCAGCGTCATGCAGACTTTCGGCGCTGAAGACAAACAGCCATTCAAGCCTTCTGTCTGCTTTCACTCGGGTCCAATGAAGGTCACCGCATATCCTTCGCCTGGGCTATCTGTCGCCGAGAAACCGAATCGGATCTCTCCATCACATTCGCGACAACAAAACTGCCGCTCCTCTTTCGCTGCCTTTGTCTCGCTGTATCAACAAAACTCCAGGCCACCTCTTCGTCTTTTTTTTGCTCTCCTTGTTTTCCTTCTGCCCGTGTACAGCAGGAAGAATGTCATCTGGCCGTTTTCTCTCCGCGCAGAGATAGCATTCAGCATTCAGACGCTCAGACAATACTGCCTAACAAGAGCGCAGATTCAGTGTCCCGCATAAAAGACCCCTATTCTACAGCCCCAAGTCGTTCACGCTGGAATAACACACACGCTTCGAGACCCGTGCACACATACACACACACACACACGCATAATGGCATGCTCTTTTGTTACAGCACACTGAAAAGAATTTCTTCAGGATGTGCAGGTCAGTGCACTTTTGACTCGTGCCCTCACCTCACACTGCAGTTACTAAACCAGTGATAAGATACAGTGCACGTACACATACACACACACACACACACACAATGCACACAAAACACACACACACACACACACCCACACCCACACAACACACAAAAAAAAAAAACACACACATTGCTCGGAATCCACCAAGAACACTATCAGATCACCAGGACTGAACAATTCAGCTTTATAAAACAACATTCAACATTAACTTCTACCCCCAGCTGGCCCATTTGGGCAAGTGGAGTAAGAGTTTACTGTTCTGAAAAGAGTTTACACTGTCCCAAACTAATTTCTGCTTTTAAACATAAATGAGCATTACATCAGCGGTTATCAAACCAATCCTCAGGGCCCCCCAGATGTTTCTGTTCTATCCCTATGTGTTGCAAGTTAGGTTGGAGCAAAAATCTGGACCATCTAAGGACCAGTTTGAGAACCACTGCTTTACCTAAATATCTTCTTTCGGAAGGGGTCCGAACTAACTTTTTTCAGAACCGTCCCAGAATCATCCTGAAAAATACTCTCAGCCACCATCTAAAATTTTAAACTGCTTCGTTAACATTACAGGGCGGCAGGCGCCTCACAGCAAGAAGGGCCTGGGTTCGATTCCCCGGCCGGGCGACCAGGGTCCTTTCTGTGTGAAGTTTGCATGTTCTCCCCGTGTCTACTTGGGTTTCCTCCCACAGTCCAAAGACATGCAGTCAGGCCAAAGGGTGATGCTAAATGGCTGCCCAGGTGTGTGTGAATGTATATGTGGGTCATTCTCCATTTGGAGTGGGAATTCAGGTGGATACGTTTTTTAAAAATCCATTTCTTTCGTCCCAAAACTAAATAATCTTAATATGTTCATTAACATCTCCTATTATTATATATGCAAAAAGGAGAGATTCATTCCAAACATAGTTTACAGTCTCTGGTGTTGTATAAATATGGTGTAACACCAGTGACTGTGA